TTTCTTTATCGTCATGTTCATAGTCTTCATCATCAAAGTCGTAATCCTGGTCCATGGTCTGGATTATCTATGCATCCAATCGAACATTTTATTTATTATACATGTGCTTATTTTCCTCTTCTTTTTTCATGCCATCCACTTCATTTTCTTTATGCAAAATTCCATGCAGATATTGCACCAATTGGTGGTCATGATGGCCATGATGCTCCAGCTGGTGGTTCGGCCTATCATTATTTACATCATTCATTGTTCGAATGTAACTATGGAACGCCATTAGTTAATTTTGATCGTCTATTTGGTACTTACAAAGAAGTCGTCAAGAAACCATCAATAAACAACAAACAAACAAATTAAATATTGTACACTATAACTCACTCTGACATACACAAAAGAATGTTTTTAATGCGGTGCGAAGCACAGCATTTATGTAGTCCGTCGCGAGTTTACTTTTTTTTTTAATGCCCTGCGAAGCAGGAGCATTTATGTAGTCGTGCGCGAGTTTTTTTTTTTTTTCTTTTACTTTCTCGACGTACGCACAAAATGTCGTCATTTTGTGACGCCATGATCTCAAGAACAGAAAGTCGGAAAACTTTCGTTGAAACGACAAGTGAAAGTATCGACACTGAACATGGAACATCTTTTTTCAAATCATGTTTGCGACGTTCGGTGCTCTCACAAATCGAGTTCCAAAAACACGATTTTGACAAAATTTTGCATTGAGATAATTAAAACGAAAACTGAAAGAGAAGTTAGGCGCCATTTTTTTTTCTCTTTGAATATAAGACAGCTGCGATACAGCTGATTATAGATAATGAATCATTGAGATAATTAATCCATCAATAGAAAACAACTTATAGAACTCTATCGATACGTTTTCACAGAGTTTCTCTAGGGATGAATTTTATAATGGACGGTTTTCATTTCGAATTCAGATAAGATCAGGTGCTTGATAAAGATGACAAAACAGGCCCATCTTACGTAGTCAGCAGCTAATTCAAATAAAAACAGCGATTAGTATAGTTCAGAAAATTGAATTCTCGTTTTCCAAAAAGTATCGTTTTCGACAATTCGAGACATTCGTGCTTCGCAGGGCATTTCGTATTCGAAGCGAAGCTCGAATACCATCTAGTTTTTTCTTACTTTTTAGCTCGACGTACGCATCAAACTTGTCATATCTCAAATCGTTGTTTTGTGACGCGATGATCTCAAGAATGGAAAGTCGGAAAAGTTTCGTTGAAACGACAAGTGAAAGTATCGACACTGAACATGGAGCATCTTTTTTCAAATCATGTTTGCGACGTTCGGTGCTCTCACAAATCGAGTTCCAAAAAGACGATTTTGACAAAATTTTGCATTGAGATAATTAAAACGAAAACATAAACAAAGGTTGGGCGCCATTCGTGATGTTGAAATACACAACAGCTGACAATACAGCTGATTATAGACAATTAATCACGTAAATAATTAAACGACCATTGGATATATTTCTTTACAAATAAGTTGATATGCTTCGATAGAGTTCTCTCGTTGACGATTTTTCTGATGGCGTCTTCTCATTAATGCGGTGCGAAGCACAGCATTTATGTAGTCCGTCGCGAGTTTACTTTTTTTTTTTTTTTTTTTTTTTTTCTTTTACTTTCTCGACGTACGCATCTCAAATCGTTGTTTTGTGACGCGATGATCTCAAGAATGGAAAGTCGGAAAAGTTTCGTTGAAACGACAAGTGAAAGTATCGACACCGAACATGGAACATCTTTTTTCAAATCATGTTTGCGACGTTCGGTGCTGTCACAAATCGAGTTCCAAAAACATGATTTTGACAAAATTTTGCATTGAGATAATTAAAACGAAAACATAAACAAAGGTTAGGCGCCATTCGTGATGTTGAAATACAAGACAGCTGACAATACAGCTGATTATAGACAATTAATCACGTAGATAATTAAACGACCACTGGATATGTTTCTTTACAAATAAGTTGATATCCTTCGATAGAGTTCTCTCGGTGACGATTTTTCTGATGGTGCCTTCTCACTTATTAATAGGATGCGAAGCACAGCATTTATGTAGTCCGTTGCCAGTTTACTTACTTTTTTTTAGTTTTTCTTTTACTTTCTCGACGTACGCATCAAATCTTGTGATTCTGTGATGTGATGATCTCGAGAACTAAAGATCACAAATTAATCGTTAAAACAAGAGGTGATAGTATTATGATCAAACAGATGACATTTTTTTTCCAATGTTTCATCGTATATTCGGTTCGCACAAAAATATCGTTCCAAAAACGCGATTTTGACAAAATTTTGTTTTGAGATAATTAAAACGAACAAGAATCCACAGAGCCCTCTATAAGAATACAAAGATTTCTAATGTAGAAACATGGGTTCTAAGCTTTTGTAGAGGTTGTACAGTTATGAAGTTTCAAATGGGTATTACACTTAATTAGATAAAGAACTGCTCATTTTTGTTTAGAATTGTACTTGTTAGATAAACATGTTTCTTGTGATATTATCTTATTGAACATCTTATTCTATGTAATATATTTTAGAATCAATAATTAATGTAATAATGGTTGCATCTAATTCTTGCATTTTTTTTTCAATTTTTTGAAAAACTGTTTGTTGTTTAGAAAACCGGTTTTCTCTAATAACCTCTTGAAGGTTTTACTTCTTACTTTAAATGATTACGTTATTTTCATGTAACAATTTCATTCTTCTTTTGTTTTTGATGATAAAACTTGTTATATGTATATATTTACCCTAACATTATATTGTCAATGGTATATTTTTTCAAAATATGTTTTAGATTGAACAATCATTTAGAATAAAAAAAGAATTCGTCTTCATTTTTAAATTATATTCTGGGGTCGGATTCGACCTATAAATCCTATAATTCCTATATTTTTGAAGAATCCTATATTTTGTCCTATATTTGAATCGCTATTCCTATTTTTCCTATATTTTATCAAAAACAGTAGAAAAACTTCTAAAGGTTTCACTGTGGCCTGAGGGGGAGTCCAGGAGTCTTCGCGGCGCTACCCCCCGTCATCACTTTTTACGAAGAGCTCAGGAGATGAGAATAGGTGTCTCTTGCAGGTAACGCTCGACGACAATACCTAAATTTCGGTTGGTTTTTTAGTGAAAATAGTCGTAAAATTCAGAAAAGAAAATCCTATATAGGAATTCCTATATTTTCGAAAATTTGCAATCCGACCCCAGATTATATTCGACATATTATAATCGATCATATAACCGAGGCCATTTTGATTTTTGCCTTTTTTAGAAATTTTTGTACTTGTTGTATAAATATGTTTCATGATGATGCTCACTGGTTCATTCTATGAATTTCTAAATAAAGAATTCATTGGATTCTTTTAACTATTATTTCCTGCTTGATATTATTGTATTAGTCTGCCCAATCAATTTAGACTGTAAATTTACTTATATACGCAACTCTTTTTATAATATTAATCATTCTCCTTTCTATATAAAACAGTTGATTCGATTTTCTTCTTTCAATATTACTGCATCTTATAAAAATATGTTTTCCTATATACTATTTCTAGTCATCGGATCAGTTATTTAGGATTTTACATTTATTGAAAATTATAAAAACTTCATTGTTCATGATGAAAAAAAACGTCTTTATTGTACAAACATATATTACCTTATATTATATTATTCAATCTAAAAAGTTTTAAGAGAATTCACTTGATATTTCTTTCTAAACTGTTTGTCCTACTTGTTTAAAGATGTTTCGGGAGCCATTTATTTTAGATTGGAAAATTATTTTTAGATAAAAAAGATTCTTTTTATTTGTTTTTTAGAATCATCCGTTTTTCTTCCTTTTTATATAAATTAATTTCATCTGATATTGTATGTTCAATGTTAAAATCTTTTAAATAAAAGTTGTTTACAAATTTCTGGGTAGTCATTTAGTTTAGATGAGAAAATTATTTTTAGATAAAAGATTCTTTTTATTTGTTTTTAGAATCGTCGATTATTATTCCTTTTTATATAAATTAATTTCATCTGATATTGTATGTTGAATTGTAAAATTTTTTTAATAAAAGTTGTTTAAAAATTTCTGGATGGTCATGTATTTTAGATTGGAAAATTATTTATAGATAAAATATTCCTTTTTTTTTCTTGTTTTTAGAATCATCCATTTTCATTGCCTTTTATATAAATTAATTTCATCTGATATTATATATTGAATTGTAAAATTTTTTAAATGAAAGTTGTTTACAAAATTCTTGGTAGACATATATTTTAGAATATACAACTATTTTTATATAAAAGATTCGTTTTTTGTTCGTTTTTAGAATAATCGGTTTTGATTCCTTTTTATATAAATCATATAGCTTTAGCTGATATTATATTAGTACTTGTAAACTTTTTAAAT